ATTATGCTAAGTGAAAGAACTCAGACACAAAAGGCTACATATTGTATGGTTCCCTTTATATGTAATGCCAAGAATAAGCAAGTCCATAGAGGCAGAGAATAGATTCGTGTTGGCCAGTGGCTGGGGAGAAGGGAGAAGGAGGATTGACTTCTAATGTGAATGAGGTTTCTTTATAGGGTGATGAATATGTTCTGGAATTAGGTAGTGGTGATGGTTTCACAGCCTTATGAATATACTAAATGCCACTGAATGGTACACTCTAAAAGGGCAAATTTTATGGTATGTGAATTCTATCTCAATTCAAAATAAATAAATATTAACAGCTAGACCATTTAAAAAATTAAAAGATTGGGCTCTTTGGGAGCAGCATGTCAAGGAGAAGCCTCCTGGGAATATAAAGTTTGGTTTAGGCCCAGAAGCAATGAGAGAGAAGGACAGGGACACCTCTAGCAGAGGGAACAGTGTGAACAGTGCCACAGAGTTTCCTATAAAAAACAGCCAGAGACCTGCTTGGCTGAGACAGAGGTTGCTGGGGGAGGGGTGGTGCAGTGGTCAAGGGTAGAGGTGGGGGATGGGCAGGAGGTGACCTGTGCTCCTACCCACTAAGCTTAGGAGCTGGATGGAAAGGAACATGCTTCTCCCAGTGAGGGGGGAGCCTTTGAGGGAGGGTTGCAGGGAGTGCTGATGCATACATACCAAAGCACTGCTCTAGCACGGTGAGTCTAGCCGCAGTGCGGGACGAATTAATGAGGGGAGGGACCAAAGCAGAGGTTTGGGGTCCTCTGCTGTATCCTCAGCGCTGTGCTGAGGCTGCAGGGAGCAGGAGGAAAACAAGCAGGCCTTTCCTCCTACCCTGCAGGGATACAGGAAGGAAACTTTGCATTTTCTCTTATAATTCAGGGTTGGACTTTCGCTTTTTTATTAGCTCATTGATCTTTGAAAGAATTTTTGAGATAAGAAGAAGAGCTATCATTAGCTCCTTTACAGGGAGAGAAATGGGGCCTCAGGAAGCCCAAGCCTGCTCCTAAGTGGCAATTAGGAGAAGAAACTCTATCTCAACTCAGAGTTCATCCCAGGCTGACCCATAGTCTTGTTGGGGAAACAAAGCATAGACACCGAGAATAAATAAATATGCAAAAATATAGTGCAAGGCAAATATGTGGTAGCCAAAGACAAGCCTTCAATTATTATCAACAAACACATTAATTAGTGCCAGGTAATACTCTGCCAATCACACCAAGTGTTCAAGTGCTTTTTCTTTGGCTCTCTTTCTATTGCTGAACTTTGTCCTGCCAAGCAGAAGATTCAAAAGAGAGAGTTTGTGCAGAAATTTTGAACCTGGATGTTAAATTAGATCTGGGCTCAAATCCCACCTCAGCCATGTGCCAAATGACCTTTAACTCCACTTCTTGGAGTGTCAGGTCCCTCACCTATTAAATGCGACCCCACACCCAGCTCATAAAGGACTGCCACACTGCAATTCTGCGATGACATATACAAAGCACGTAACTCGTACCTAGCTCGTATGGGGGGAGCTCAATATATAAAGGGGAGTCCTGAAAAAAGTTACGAAAGGGGATTCACATTCCTTGGGCACAAACAATACGGCAGTACCTTCATATATCCTTCATCTTCACAACAAGTAGGTCTTATTACCCCCATTTTAGAGATGAGGCAAGTGAGGCCCAGGGAAATTAGCTTGCCCGAAGTCACACAACTAGGATGTGAGATAATCATGGTTCACATTTGGTCTGGCTCTGAAGTCCTCACTTCTTCACTCTGCTGATGGCAGAACTGGACATAAAAGGATTCTCATCAAGGCACAGAGCCTGATTCGCAGACAAATGATGACCTGTTTCAGAGCTACTGGGGAATGAGCTGGAAGCTCCATTCTGCTTGCAGGACTCTGGTCTGGGCTCAGATTTGCTTGGCCTCATGTACAAACTATCGATCTCCTGGCCTCTCCTTCTTCATCTCTCCCCTCCTACTACCCAAGGGTTTTTAGATCAAAGTGCAGCCTGTGTCCTGGGAGATACTCCTGTTGCCTGTAACCCTATTTTCTGAGTCACCTTCACAAAGAAGGCCTTCAGCTAAAACTTTCTCCCTCGGCCCAATCACACAACTGTTCTTTCCCTTAAGCCCTTAGTAGCCCTCAGGATGGAAAGGTAGCTGACTGCCTGCAGAAGCATTTTTATGCTGAGGAGCTGCTCGGAATAAATTAGCCAGTCCTCAGAAAGTGTGTGATACGCTACTTCCACATCCCATTTTCTTTCTGCTTTAGTGCTTTCCTTCTCAGACACCACCCCTTTTCCCTTCCTGAGGGCTGGCATCTTTCACATTTGCCCATCCTGGGGAGCGGGGGAGACCCAGCCCTGCACAAGAGAATTTTCCTCCTTCTGCTAAGAATCTTTAAGATTCTAAAACCCAGACATGATCAGCAAATAAAGAACTGAATCAAAAAGACTTTCAATCACCCAAGGGAGGCAGAAGCCCAGTGGATCCAGAGAATTAAAGGTAACAAGATAAAAGATAAAAGATAATAAGAATTAAAGATAACAAGAGATGATGGCGGAACTAACCAACAAGTACTGGTGCAGGAGCTGAGAGCTGGGCCTGGGCACTGCGTTTCTGTGAAGTGTGGCTGCTGGAGAAACTCCCCGATTGATGTAATTTTTAGAGGCCCCTTGACAAGCCCCTGAGATCCCTTCTCTCAGGGAAAGCTCCATTTGCCTTTCGACACATCACCAGACTCTTACTGCTTCCCTGTTATTTCCAGGGACTAGAGGAGCCATTGGATGTCAAGGGAAAGAGGTACTTGAAATTGAATACTTTTCAAGGCTCTTTAAAGTCATGTCTAGCAGAAGGACCCCTTTTTCGAATGGAAGGTTACCTGAAAGTGTTCTGGGCTGGCATTGGGTTTCTTAACATCTGAATGTGGAGAACCGTCTTCCCCAATACTCCTCACCCCAATGTTCCTGACACACACACACCTCCTGTCCCCAGCAACTCAAACTCAGATTTTTTGGCTGTACCCAGACATACTGAACTGAAAACTCTGGGGGTGAGCCCCAGTGATTCCCTAATCACCTGGAGAGCTTATTAAAAAACACATTCCTGGCCTCCAACCCTGGAGGTTTTGATTCAGTAATTCTGCAGTGGTACCTAAGAATCTGCATTTATATCAAACTCCCAGGTGGTGCCAAGGCTGCTGGTCCAGTGAGAAGTTCTGGTGTAGGGAGCCTCCAGGCTGCCTCCAGGGCACAGATTTCTTCCACGACCTAAGTGGTAAACTGTGTGCAAAGATCACTGCAGGGCTGGGACCAGGAGAGGAGAGGGTGTAGACAAAAGAGAAAGAGAAAGAAATACGGCCTGGAAGCAATGCGTGGAAAAGAGACTTGTGCTTTCTCAGCACATGTTATCAAAACTTCTTTCTTGTTATTTCCATTTCCTTGTTTCTGGTCCACATTAGTAACCCACTAATTAATGCCTTGGGATTGAGACCCACTAATGGTGTCTCATAGGCCTTATAAAAATGGTGGTACAAGACCTGGCCCAATGAAAGTATAAGGAATACACAACCTCAGGGCCCAGGGTCAGGCCCCTGGGGCCACGGGATCTGGGGACATGTGCTTTCCTGCGTCTGTGGTCCCCATTTTTCAGACATCAGCAGGCACCAGGATCACCCAGTTAACTCTCAATCACCTGCCCCACTGCCAGAGTCTCTGATTCAGTAGATTTGGGGTGGGGCCCCGCCTGAAGTTCTGCATTTTAATAAGCTCCATGTGATGCAGATGCATGCCGCTTACCCAGGGACCCCTCTCTAGAATCACTGGCAGGCACATCTATCTGCAATAATGCCAGGAGTTGCTTAGAGTCATTTGCACCAGCAGCCACCCAACAACAAGTCTGGGGAAGGTAAGTTGCTTCCAGCCCAGGACAGAAATGTAGGGACCTTACTCTACCTGTTATGAGCTGCCTGGGATGTGGCAGAAACCGCCACATCCTTCAGGCATGGACACAGCAGTGCCAGGATGGTGCCTTTGGTGAAACTTGCTCTGAAATGTTCCATTATTTCCTCACGTAGAAAGTCACTGTAACTATTCTCTCTGACGTTTATACCTTACTCCGAACATCACATTGTAGACGTCTCACCGTTTCAGACCATATGCCAGAAGATGTGATGTTCAGTCTCCTCCGAGAGGGGTCCCAGAAGTGCGTGTGGACTTGGTTTCACCAAGTCTGCATCCTACAGGCTGGGCCCTGGGCTCGAGGAGAAAGAGGTCAGCCTGTCTCACGGTGTCATTTCTGTCTTCTCTCCCCTTCCC